CGATATGAGTAATTTTATTTCACGGTAACAATATATATCTCAATATATATATATATATATATATATATATATTTAAATTATTGACAATATTCAGTACATATTTACAGTATGTATTTGTTCTGAAAATAAAAAAATCAAGACATATTTTCCACACAGATTTTTCTTGATAAATCTAAAGATCATACTTAGTTTTTATGCACCAAAATAACCACAAACAACATTTACCTACATACAGTTGTGTTCAAAAGTTTTTTTCTTTTCTTTAATGGCTGCTGAAAATTCAGCTTTGTCATAAAAGGAATAAATTAAATTTTTTAATATATTACAGTATAAATCATTTTTCACAATATTACTCTTTTACTGTATTTTTTTTATCAAAAAATGCAGCCTTGATGAACATAAGTAATTTTTTCCAAAAACATAAAACAAATCTTACCTACCCCAAACTTTTGAACAGTAGTGTATATTTTTATTGAAACAAAAAAAGTAAAAACACAACAGAGCGGTTGTGACTTTATATCCCCTAATTGCAACTTTATTTCTTTCAATTGTGACTTCAAATCTCACAGAGTGACATTTATTTGCATAAAATTAGAATATTGAAAGCATTCTCACTTCATCTTGCAGACCCTCGACTACAGTAATTGACAGATCACATGACCTCCACTTTCTTAATTCCCATTGATAGTCGCTGTTCATTGCTATGCACTTTCTAAAGTTACACAAATATTAATTCAACTTAATTTAACTTTTTGCGCTCTAGCAGTTAATAAACAAAATGGCATGCATCTTGAGGAAGAACACTGGAGCCGGATATGTTATGATATATTCTCAGTCTGGTTTTCTTCTGATTCTTAGTTTAAGGACAACAGAGAGTCTTCAGAAATACTCCGACTTTCTGAGCCTTGGTGCTCAAGTGGAATACACAGGTTTGAATCTGCTTGCAACAATTCTGAGTCCTGTATCCCCCTTTCTTCCTGTCATATCTCTCACCCTAGCCATCCATTACCGGACATGCAAACATCCAACTGTCAACAGTTTTTTCTTTTAAATGATTAACTGAAAAATATTTTTTAAAAACCTGATTAACTAAAATGATTCAAACTTAACCGTGTTGTTTAATTTTATATCAGGAAACACAATCATTTTGAATATTTAGCCAATTTTGCATATAGCTTCCAACTCTGATTGTGATTATGGAAAATGTCAAGAAAAAAAGTGCATAGAAGCTGAACAGTAATATTATCTATGATTTCAGTTTTGTTTCTCAACATGGTTTTTGTTTTCAGAAACAGAAAGGAGTTTGGAAGGCGGAGGAGCAGCTGTCAGACTTCACACTACACCGCCGCTGGTGAAATTAGCACTGCTCTCTGACCTTTACTTAAACAAACCGAGAAACTCGCGCCTCTCCTGAGATTTGGTTTGTGGCGACCGGCTGATTGGGGAAAATGAAGGACTATTATTGACATTCCAGAACAATGATGAAATCTACAAGGCTACAACAACAATAACTGCAATTACGAGAATTCAGCACTCAAATATTCAACACCTTTCTGTCTTTTTGAGTTATGAACGAGTTGCTAAGATGTGTTTAGAAATGGATGATCTTTTACAGGGGTGATGTAGGTTAGCAGAAGGTTGTAGGTTCGAATCCCAGTGGCACTGATTCAAGACATTCAGGCACTGTAAGTCACTTTGAATAAAACACTCAACTGCATTAATAAATGTTAATGAAACTGGAGACTTGTGACTTATGACTAAAAGAGACAAAACTGGTATAAAAACTATGATTACTAGCCCAGTTAGTGATTACTAACTAGTGGTTTTATCCAAGTGACTCACAGGGACAGTCAGCGACTTAAGATAGAGTATCTTGCTCAATGGCTCAAAATGACAGCCTGTAAAACACCCCTTCTGAGATTCAAACCAACTACCTCACGAGTTTTAACCACTTCGTCTCAGCACTCCAACTCGTTAACACACACACACACACACACACACTCACTCACTCACTCACTCTCTCACTCACTCAAAGTTGTTTCTTATGGAAAATGTCTGTGTAGATGATATGAAGACCATCTAATGTGGCCCATATGAAGCTGTAACTGGAGCACTGCACTCAGACTCTCCTACAGACTATAGACTGATGTGAAAACCCTGAAATACCTTTCTGCTTGTCCATCGCTGGAAATGCTCAAAGCGTCCAAGTGAAATGTTCTCGTCCGCTTCCAGAGTTCATCGCTGAGTCTGTTCCTGGATGTGAAAACGAATTTAAAGTGGCTTTCAGTTCAATTCGAAGTGAATTAGGAGAGAGTTGCGGGTCAGGCGACAGACAAACGAAGATAACAGCGAAACTGTCCAAAAAAGCGGCTACATTGCCAACATCTCCTCCACATCTCTGTGTATCACTGGACTCTCCGCCTCCAGACGCGCTTCTGAAAGCCGCCACTGTACAGCAGCTCCACAGCGCCACCCCGCGGGCAACAGAGATTACAAAACAAACAAAATCTGCATGTGTAGAAGTAGCTCGCAGTGATTAATCTGGGTGATTTATTTACCTGGGTGAGGCAGTAAATGTTTATTTCATTTATAAAGGAAAATTAAAAAAGCTTTCATTTGGCACAATACCAACATGACACAATATTTAGATTACCGTAAGAATACATAGACCCTGGTGACACAGTGATGGAAAAATATAAGTTGGAGGAACATTTATATTTCAGCAGTGTTGGGTGTAGTAACGCATTACAAGTAACGCGAGGTATGTAATCAGATTACTTTTCCAAGTAACATAAAGTAACGCTTTTAAATTTACAAGAAAATATGAGTTACTTTGTTTTCCCATTTATTCACTGACACCTCTCCTGTCCCTGTGTTGAGAGAAATTGGGAGTGAGGCACTTCCTTCAGGCAGAGGCTTATTAATTTCACTTTTGGTGTGAAAGGGTATTTACAGTTGCCAAAAATGTAACTTTCTGATTTTTTGTTATTAATAATAAATAAGCAAGCCCAGCTCAGGTGACAAAAAGTAACACAAAAGTAACTAAATGCATTACTTTTTATAAAAAGTAACTAAGTAATGCAATTAGTTACTTTTTGGGAGTAACACAATATTTAAAGTAATATATATACACACACACACACACACACACACACACACACATATATATATATATATATATATATACAGTGCATTCAGAAAGTATTCAGACCCCCTTCACTTTTTTCAATTTTGTTAAGTTGCAGCCTGATACTACAATCGTTTAAATTATTTTTTTCCCTCTTTAATCTACACTCAGTAGTACCCCATAATGACAAAAGTGAAAACAGAATTTTAGAAATGTCTGTAAGTTCATTAAAAAGAACAATACTGAAACATCACATTTACCAAGTATTCAGACCCTTTGCAACAAATTTAGCTCAGGCGCCTCCCATTTCTCTTGATCGTTGCTGAGATGTTTCTACACCTTGATTTGAGTCCATCTGTGGTAAAATAAATTGAATGGACATGATTTGGAAAGGCACACACCTCTGAATACTTTCTGAATGCACTGTGTATATATACTGTTTATAACACGTTCTGTCATGAAACTCTAGATGGCGCAGGCTGATGGGTCCTTAATGTAACTGATGATATTCTTAGCATTAAACGACTTGTCACAAGCTGATTGGTTCATGTTGCATACGCAGCCAATGAGCTTGCTGCTTAACATTTAAATGGCTGATTAGTATTCACTTGAGCATTGCAGCGCGCTTTCAGAGTTCCTCTGAAACCCTCCACCTTCCCCAGCTCCACCTGTATAGATCTGCTACGGGTTATTTATATGCTATTTGTGCAGCAGCAGTATGTCTTAAATACTCACAGCACCATATTGGCTTATGTATTGGCAGTAGCAAGTTCCTGTACTTGCTTGCAGCAGCAGCAATAATCTACAGCACCAGCAATTCAGCAGCAGCGTAGCAGATCTATTCCGCCAAGACCAAATACATTAACTGTCATATACATCACCATGCTAAAATCTTCAGAGTTCTCATGACAGAAATATATATATATATATTTTAAAAGTAAATTTCTCTAACACTGTATTCAGTTAATTTGCGTTAATTCAGAAAACGTTTGCATTAAATAACGTTCATTTGCAAAGAATTAAAAATATTCTGCTTTTGCATCTCCAGCAGCTAAAAAATAATTAAATACTTTACATACATGAAATGCTTACATTATATTCATTCTAAGCTGATCAAAAATATTTGTAGGGCATATTCAGTAGTTTCTTCAATTTAAGCTTAATCACATTTTCAATTAGTAAAAAGCAGACACAAAATGCTGTTAAAATCATAAACTTTATTGAACTGAATATTCATTCAAATTATGTTAAAATCATTAGTGAACCACTAACAAATCAAAATAATGAAACAGCACTACCACTGCAATTAATAATAATAAAATCATAACAATACACTCACTTTAATAAATCCATTTTATTTTTCCCCCATTCATCACACTTTCACATAAAAAAACAAAGAAGAAAACCACTACTCATGAAGTAGAGAAAAATGAATAAATGTTAATATTTAGAACATTTTTCACATGAAAATTGTCAGATGCATGTACATGTGTTAAAAGAGCATATTTTCTTATTGTGAAAACATTCATCCTTTTAGGTGTGTAAGAGTGAATCAAGTGCTTTAGGATGTAGTAATGAGTGCCTTGCTGCAAAATATTCCAAGCAAAATGTTTTTCATAAAGAAGGCCTGACGTCTGAAGCCACAAATATTTTCAGACCAGAAAAATACAACTTTAAGCTGCCACTGGAAAAAGTCAAGACTGATAAGTAGCATAATTTCATGATTATTGTGTATTTTGATGATCATTTGATCATTGTGATGAGTTTGTGCCCCTTCAATCACACAAGAAAACATTTTAAACAGCAAATAATACTATGGGTTTGTTAATATGCATTTCTCTCACCAGTAGAGTCACATATTTCCTTTTGAGCAGTACTTCTACAAAAATGAATTTGGAATGTCTATTTTTGTACTTCTACTGTACATTCTCAAGTTGATATATGTGTTGCTTTTTAGTGATTGTTTTGTTCTTATTACATTTCTGTTCTGTTTTGTTAGGTACAAACTCTGGATATAAAGCATGCACTCTATCCAAGCACTTAATTTGGTAATTGAAGCAATAAAAGCACAGAAGTGAATATTTAATACTGACGTGGGCAAGAGGAATATATGAACTACGGGGTTGTGTGTCATTCAGAACACACTTGAGAATGCCTTTCAAATTACACTTTTCATTTTAAAATGCAGAATTAAAATGATATAAAAATCATATGACTGCTTTTATGCATTCTATATTATCATTCCATAATAATATTGATTTAATTCATTCATTTATTTTATATATATATATATATATATA